TTTCCTAAAAATAGTGATAAGGGAAAATAAACCTAATTGACTTAGACGTCTAGGTCAAAGGCCAGCCAGCCAGCCAGCCAGCCAGCTAGCAATAAACGGACGGCAAACCTTAGAACAAGTTGTAATAAAACCCACCACTCCCAGATAAAAGCAAAGGGTGAATAAAAAAGGGTTCACAATTACTAGGGCTTCATATAACCTATGTTTGAACAATGGCTTGATAAGTTTTGTTTTGTTTTTTAACACCCCGTGACCCGGTGATGACAACAACACTTAGCAGACAACATTGTTTTTTTTTTCACGCATATCTTTTGTATTTCCCATCGCCGGTCCATTTAGCCTTTCTTTTTATTCAATGATGTTCATGCCAAATGAAAGAGAAAGGAATGAATTTTGAATGATGTTATTTTGAAGCGAAAATGAATATTTTTTCATTAAAAAAGGGTTTTTCTCAGAAAATTGTGCATAATTTCTTAATGCTAACCGCCGAGTGACATTTTCCACAGCCAAATCGAAGATTAATTACCAGTGAATAATTCCATGTGCAAAAAAATAGCCGTCTGGATCCTATAAGGTCGCCCTAAAAGGTCCAGAAGTTTACTAATTGATCGAAAACCTGTTGCGCATAATTGTATTTTTCACAGTCAGTTTCCATTATTTCATCTTGATATTATCATTTTCGGACAGCCAAGTCATCAAGGATTCAGGAAAACACTTTGACATAGGTTTTCTTTAAGAACTTTACATTCTATGAGGTGTTTAAAATGTTACTGACGAATGAGATTTTTTGCCGCATATTTCAATTACGCGCCATGTTGGATTTTCCTATATGACAAAAACAAGGGTTTTAAACAGCTGTGATTGTCATAATCACAAATATTTCAAGTATTCTCAATTACTCTAATAAACCTTAATGCCAATAAGACTTGTAAATTAAACACCTACTAAATAGGAAAGAACATATATGAAAGGTTCTTGTTCTGGTTTGTACATTTCTAAATGCATATAACAACAAATTGCTCAAGTTTTACTGAGTCTATTGCTCTTACTTTACAGGAAGCAGTGGAGATTTGTGATTGCCCACGTCCTGAAGAGACAAGGCACATAGAATCACTCTTACTTCTGTATTATTTAATGTTGCTATTTTTCAGATGATCAGTGTTTTGTTGGCATGTTTATCTTCTGAGAAAAAATTACTTATCAGTGAATATGCTTGTAGAGTTATGGTTAGTTGGTTAGACAAGTAAATCATTGTTAATCAGTTATTTCTTAATGGATAAACTATTGTCAATGCTTTGTACCAGAAAAGGTTAAACTTAGTCGGTCAATAACTTTGTCGTATGCCTATATAAAAAACACTGAAAACCTTTGTGCCAACTTGTCTGATTTTTTTCACCATGGATTGGGATTTTTTTTTTTTTTTTTTTTTTTTTTAATTAATGCCTATTGAATTTTATGGTGAATAATATAAGAAATATTGGGATTTTTCTTTTCTCTACCATTTATCAAAATTGAAATCTGAATAACAAAAAAAAATACTGTTTCAGTAAGAAAAACAGCAAGTCAACAAGAAGGTTCCAAGGTGACATTTCTTGAATTACATTAACCGAAATGTTGTACAAGGTGATCTGAAAGTTTTGTGTGCCCCCCCCCCAAAAAAAAGTAATGGGTGCAATAGAACAAGTAATACAAAGCACATGTACTAGATTCAGTTTATTCACTTTCATTGACGCTGTCACTTGCAAGCAACCTCTCTTCCAAACTGTAAGGGCTCACATCAGCCATCTGAAATACAAAATTATATTATGTCGGTGACAAGATTTTCAGACCACCCTGTAGTATAAACATTGCCACTAGATGGGAATAGTTTATAAATAAAAATGAAAAATGATTCTTTGAGTAACTTCTTAAGTCAAAAATAAGTTTTTTGGCAAAATATTGAGAACTGAATTTTTCGATTCCTCCTTGTGATCACATAAGGAAATGTTTTTGAATTGATGTATTTGACTCATGAGTTTGCTAAATGAATGCCAAAAGTATGATGATTAAGATTCTGCCTACTTAGCAAACAGTTACTTCTGAAAACCTGTTACACTACAAATTTAACATTAATTCTCTATTGAGAAAAAATTTAATTCATTAACTACTATCTACTGAAATACTACTCTAATGTTTATTCAAATTGTTTTGTGTGCAATAAAGAGGTTTAACTTTAGTCTTTTGTTGTTAGTGACATTAGCAAAACTAGATTTGTATGACATTTAAGCATTTGTTTATATCCAGATGGTGAAGACTTTTGGCTGGATTCAGAATTTAAAATAGGCACTCTTTATTTTTTTTTTGTTTTTTATCTCTGGCTGAAATTATATTTTTTTTAATTTTGATAAATTCTTAATGTTTAACAAATAGCTGGACTAATATGCGTAAAATTAAGAATCCTTTCAATTTAAGTCAGTGTATTAGTAAAAAGTGATACTATTGAGCATTGTTTCTCAAAAAAAAATTATTTACAATAGAGCTTATAAATAAAAAAAAAATGGTTGGTAAATTCTGGGGCAGTAACATTTTGTACAGTGATGACATGTTTAAATTTGGCTTTGTGAAATTATAAATTTTATATTACTAGTATAATACCTGTTAACAAAATAACTAGATTATATATATATATATATATATATATGTGTATATAAATAAAAAAGCGAAAAAAACATTTTAAATCAATTAATTTATAATATATATATAAATTGGTACATCTGCCTAGGATTAGTGCAATATCAGTGTACCCTGTAGAAAGTATTTTATTTATATAACAATATTGAGGAAATTGTATGAGATATATATATATATATATATGAACAGTTGTGGTAAACTATTCATGACAATGAGACCTGAATTATTGAAGTTTGAATAGGTCATAATAGTGGGTATCAAATATAATTTCTGCACTTGTGGGTGCATTCCTCAATTTGCATTGTCACATGTCTACCAAGAATACCTTTTAAAAGTTGGGAGCAGCACAGTGACTGATCACAGGTGTGCTTAATGATTGTGACCAGAAACATCTAGCTAGAAATGTCTCTAGCAATAGACAACTGACACTAGCTCAAATCATAACTTTTAATGCAGTAGGTACCAGATGTACATTACTGTAGGTTAGTTCATCATTCTTTAGCCTCCATCAGCAGAAAACCCTCCAGGATGCCACTGTTGACACCACAACTGAGATTATGACATTGCCAGTCCACAGAGTTTCAATTAGCAATGTGACATCATCTGATGAGCCATAGTCCCTATTTTTGGGGGCTGATGGTAGCATTCACTTGTGACACAGAGACCATTGGCCCCCAATTGCTAACAAGTAACTGCAACCACATGGTGTGTATGGTAATGGTGTGTTTACGTGACATTAATAGGTTTGCTGGTCTGCTTTCCTTGAGAAAACTTAATAATAACCAAGAATAAAATAAAAAAGTTAACTAATGCCACTATTGGGCAAAATATTGCATTCAAATCCACAATTATTCTGTCTTAATGGCCCCTAGAATAATTTGAAACACAACCGTTACCACCCACCAAAATAACTGATAGAATAATACAATGGACTACCCACAATACATCACTGACTGACAGACAGACATACACACACACACACACACATATATATATATATATATATATATATATATGAATAGTTGAGCAAAAACTGCACATGGCCTGATGATTGCATTTAGTATGGAACACTGTTGCCTCTGGGTGTTGAATTCAATGTCCACATACACATATATCCTATTGTACTTGTCCCTCTTTTTGTTTGCACAACTGTTATGTCCTGTTAATACCTCATAAATAATGGACTATTCCATTTTGATCAAGGGGTGGGGACTACTTGCTTTCAGTGAGAAAATGAAAGCAGGGAAGATAGAAGTGTTTAACAGCTGTTTAAGGGAAATTGAAAAAGTTGTCAGTTTCAAATCTTTTTATTTGTACTCCCCTTACTTAAAATAAAAACCAGCATTCATATTTATTATTATTGCAATATTTTGTTAAAGATGTTAAGCTCAAATTTTTAACGATGAATTTCTATGGATATTGTAGAATTCTCCATGAGCTTATTCAATCATTAACTGAAAAATTAAGACTCCTCAGAAAATTAAAATGGGAAAATTGTGAAATTTTCATGGGTTAAAATTGTGTGTGTTGGCATCTATTGTCTGTCACCTTATGATAAAAGAAATATTTTTCAACATAATCTCTTTGTAACTGCATTTAGTTCACTGGTGTAGATTAATTAGATAAACTGAAAATTATACAATGAAAATTTCTGGCCAACTTTTCACTATTAATTATGTGACCCCTGACTTGTTGCTGATATATAATTTATAATTGAGGACATTTTAGTAAAACACATTATTTAGATTTATTTCTTGTTTATCATTTCATTCATTGTTACTTGAAAGAGAGAGAGAGTTGATTTTTTTTTTTTTTTTTTTTTTTTTTCAAAGCCAATTGTTTGATCTTTGTGACTAGTTCTGGATAAAAATATAGATAATGAATTAATTCACTTTCTATGCCCAGTTAAGCTGTGTTTTCATATTTCACAATACTGTGTCCATTTCTTGTTAGCACATGTTCAGTTTTTCAGCTTTTAGTTTTATGATATGAATGGATTTATTAAAATTCTTTGCATCTTACACTGTGTTTTCAATTTGGTGAAAAGACATAACAACATAGCTGAATTTGTTTCTATAAGGAAGAATTAATACATAATGACTAAATTCTTGCTTTTGTTTGAATCACATTATTGAAGGTATTCTTATTTGCTTGTATCATAACGTAATAATTTGGTTTTCATTTGCATAAAATTGGTAGATTCATCATTGCCTATGGCTTAAGGAACTTAAACTTGCCTTGCTGATTCTGTTTTCATTTCTCCCTTTTTTTTTTTCTTTTTTTTGTGGTTTACTTTAACTTTTTTTTTTTTTTTTTTTTTTTTTCAACAGTTGAGCTTTGATCCAATGATGAAGAAAAAGAAGAAAAAAAAGAAAACTCCTTATATGGAGGGAGTTGAGCTCGATGGATCCCGTTCTGATGCCCTGGCCACAGATGGTGCCCCACCAGAGCAAACAACTGATAATGCAGATGCTGATGGCATTGACACATTAGCAGATAAAATTGACGAAGGTTTGTAAATTTACTCTTGATGGATCTGTTTTCTTAGTGCTACTTTTGTATTAGCATTGTATTAATTAATCAGTTGATAATCAGTAAATTGTCTTAGCAACTGTTTGCCAATTAATTAGGCATCTGGTTTTTTCACCTCCAGTTATTCAGTTTTCATAATCTATCATTTCTGTTTATTGCATCACCAAAATTTCATCCCTGGCTTTAGAAACACAGCAGTTTTGTTGATCTTTGAGAATAATTAACCCTTTAAAGTTGGAAGCACCCAACTAAATACACTGACAAGCTTCATACGATATTATGTAGTGCCCTGTATTTTAATACACAGCTTCACTTTTCACATGATTAATTAGTGGTGCTAGAAATCTACAACTATTGTAAAAGTTCTAGTTTTTCAAAACCATATCTCATCAAGGAGGCTAAATTTGGTATTATTTGAAAGAGAAATCAATTTACTTTCAGATAAAATCAACTTGTAAGACTTAATTTTTCAATGAGTTTTGAAATATATATCAATGTAAATAAACTAACACTACATATTCTGATTCTTTTTCAACAATTTGGTCAGGACTCTAGGGAGTTAATTGAAATCTAAGAGCTGTTAGGGTTAAATTAAACAAACTGGTACAAATTCCTTCATTGATCCATTACAGTCAGCTGAGTATTTTTGTTTCAGCTCTGGCTATCTGCATCCTTAGTCTTCACTGGTGAAATATCTTTTGATATGCTTAGCTGCTTAGGACCCAAGAACATACTTGTTCTGATTAATAATTAATTTGGCCCTGTAGGCAGTCATGTGATGGTTTAATTTTATGTGCATGGTTAAACTTTTAAAATAAAACATGTCGGCAATTTTCTTTTTTTTCTCTCTCTCTCTCTCTCTCTCATGCCTAAGAAAAAAAATTACCATCAAAGAACAGTTCAATTAGAAAAGTTAGAAACTACTTATAAAAATTTGGTGGTAATTCTGACCATCTTCTGGAAGAGGAGGGAAAACTGCCTGAATCTACTACTGAAGTATATAGAAAAAGAATTAATTTGGTGATAATTTTAAACTGATTAATTAGCAATTGGTTAATCTGCTTATCAGTGTAGCCCTTATCTGTATGTGTGATTTATTTATTTATATATATACACACACACACACACACACACACATGTAATGAGACAAAGATTAGAGAGACAATTGGCTAAGAGGCATTAGTTGATAAAAGTGGAGATTTTTGAGGAGTGTGATGTCATTTAGATGTCAAAAGTTTTCTCATTGTCCAAAGTCATCTCTCAATGGCAAGGAAGCATGCATCAAATAATGAAACACCATTTAAAAAAAAAATTGATTGGCTTATTTATATAGCAGCAGAAATATCTCCCACATGATAACAATGGTATCTTCATTTAGTTAATGTCTTCTCACTATGTGGGAGGTATTTCAGCAACAACTTGTAAATGGGTTGATCTTCTGCTTAGGATCAGTTGTAGCTGCATTGAAAAAAAAATTATGTAGAGCATTGCATTTTTATATATGTGGACAGATGCACATCTCTTTCTCACACACACACACACACACACTCTGTAAAAAAAATTTTTTTTGTCAATGCATAAAAGGATAAAACAATGGTTTACTTACAAAGGGGTGCTGAAAAGTACTTGGCCTGACCAAGATAGTTTTAAAAAGAAAAAATTCTGACACTTGGTCAAATTTTCTGAAGTTGGTTGGGCCATGGTCATGTCAATTTGGAAATGCAAATTCTCATAAGGAAATTAGGTTAAAATAATTTCTTTTTAGGACAGTTATATTCAAGGATATTTTATATGAAAAAATCTGATGCACTCTCCCCCCCCCCTCACCATGTGTTGTTTTTCCTTATTGTCTGTCATGTGATTTCTTTTTGTATTTTAAGATTTATCACTGGATTTCGCAATGACTAAAAAGAAGAAGAAAAAGAAGAAAACTACTGACCCAGATGAACAATTAGATTCAACACCTGTAAGTTGTATTTGTTTATGGGAGGAAAGAAGTGTGACAAAGTGGGAAAAGTTATTGCATGACACATTTCATCCTTTAGGACTTAGTCAGACTAAGTTTATGAACTTAGTTCAATGAAGGCCTAAAGGATGAAATGCATCACACAAAAACTTTTCCACTTTGTCATACTTCTTTCCACTAAAAAAATTTTTCTTGATGAATAAAAAAAATTGTTGTTATCCCGTACTAGTACCTTATACATATTTTTTTACCAAAAAGATGCTTCCTTTTAAGTTTCCCTCAAAGCTTTTAACAAAAGATAAAAGAAAAATATTCATCCACTTTGTTGTTGATGACTAGAACAAAACATTATCTTTTTTTACTAAAGGACCTTTTGTGGAGAATGGGTCCACAAGTGTATCACAGCAGGGGTGATGCTACTGTGGTTTTCACTAACAAGTATATGATTATGTCATGAAGTTGTTAACCTCACTCTTAAAACTCTCTTTACCCATCTTGGTTTGAATTTGTACTTGCCCTATTAGATTGTTTGTCAACTAAAGCTAGGGAATTCAGTTTGCCCTGCTATTTCACCATAATTGAAAGAGATGTGATAGAGAAGCATGAATCCATGAAGTAATTTTCTCAATGTTTAAAAAAAAAAAAGAAAAAAAAAAGACTTTTGTTTGTTAGACCCCATTTACTGTTATTTCTTATTAGAGCCTTCTGTTGTAGAAAACAGGTTTTTTGTTACTGATTGTTTCCATAAATTTCATTTTGTTTTGATGGAACAAGTTCAGAATTTAAATATGTAGTAGAAATAAAAGAATGTTTTATTTTGCAATTTTTAAAAAAAAAATTTATAGAAACTTTTGCACACATTGAATGTGTGTCATCTCTATCCTTCTGTTGATGCCACTTTTGGTACAAATTTCTTCTGTACATTGTTATTTTTCAATATCTTTTTCTTTCTTTTTTTTTTTTCCATACATGCATTTGCCTAGTAGTAGTGATACCATCTCTAATTATTACAAAAGTTACTATAAAGTAATTAATGACCATTCATTCATAAGGACTCCATTTTGTAATTGGTTAAGTAGATCAGATTTTATTGTCTTTTACATTTTACCTTTAGATTAATTTGTAGCCTTGGGTCAATCATGGTCAACAGCAACCAATAACTTAACCCTGTGTTCTGCGCATTGATCTTCAGGTTCCTTCAGAGCACCATGGTTACCATCTAACTGACTCCTCATTCATTAATGTGTTGCTGGTATCATGTTGAAGAGCATGGTTCCACTCAATCTGGCTGATGCTTGTCTGCTTCATGGCTCTTCACTCCTCTGCCTCATTGTGCTTTTGATCTTTGGGGGGGGGTGAGAAAATCACTGAAGTAAACTTAAGCGAAGAATAGGTCAACAGCGAGGAGCTACACAAAAAAGAATTATCTCTGGTTAAAAATGTAACAATTTCATTTATATATGATTTGTTGTATGCAGCGGTTTTAACCCTTCCCACTTGTTGTTATAATCAAATGACACCGGGATCCCCTTCTGGAGCTTACAGAAACTTCTAAGTTCTGGTCTTCAGGGCTGACACAAAGTGTTGGTCAGGAGGTCTTGGTGAGCAATATGGATTCCAGTAGCAATAATGTGTCAACTCCCGTTGCCCAAACCTCCAGCTTATATGGTGTCTTGCATCCGGCAGGTGTAGGATTAACTACGGTCTGGGTTTGGTTATCTTCCATCCTTAACATCAACCGTTTTCTAAAATTCCATATTTTCAATATATGTTTACTTGAGTAATTTTCAAAATTTAGAGGTTGTCCAGCCCCTTCTTGAGAGTGGTCAGAGGAATCAAGCTGCTCTCTTTACAACTCTCTTCACATCTCATCTCACACCTTTGCTCCATATGGGTGGTGTTAATCTCTCTCTTCCACTTTCTCAGCATCCAACCTCAGCCCACTCCAAGAACTGGCACATTATCCCTGTGGCGAATCCAAATTTTCAGAATGCATAAGTGAAAAAGAGGGATTTCCAATCATTAAACTTTCTTTATCAGCTTGTCTCATGCTGATTGTTTTTAAGTGATTTCTCAATCAACCAGTCAACACAGCCAGCCATCTGTGGTCACTCTGGGACTAGTAATTCATTTTTCACTATCATTTGTATCTAAAAGAATCCGAAATAATGTCAACTAAAAAAAAAATTTGATAAATGTCACAGAAATTAAACTGAGCAAACCCGTCCTCAATCTTAGGCATTAATCTATATTTTTGTATGGATGTTTTTCTTCTGGGTGGCTGATTCAAACCAGATGTTTTTTCTGTTTCATTATCCAGAAAAATCTTAAATGTTATTCCGGTGACCACCCAGGCTTCTTTATTGTGTTTTTTCTATTTTCCAGGACCAACATCTTCAAGGATACATTCTTTTTTTTTATCAGTGGGAAATGAGGAAGGATGGATAGTCTTGGTTTTGCTCAATCTTACTGAATTCCATCTAGTTAAATTTGGGTTCAATTTTCCTTGGAACTGTTTAGGATTTCATTATATTATTTTGAAACATGATTTTCCAACGAATTCTGTCTTTAATTTTCTTAACTTTTCAATTCACTTTCTTTCAGCTATCCAGTTAGCTGTTTTTAGGTTAATAATAGAAACCATTTTTTTTTTTTTTTTTTTTTTTTGTAACATTTTCTTTTGAGTAAGAAATGATGTTAAACTGGTCATTGGATGTATTTCTCTACAGGACTTAGTCAACAATGCTGACAGCAGTAATGTTGAAAGCATTGTTGTGGATGAAGAAGATTTGAATCTTTCTTTGCCCATGAAGAAGAAAAAGAAAAAGAAGAAGATTAACATAGATGAACAGATAGAAGATGAAGATGCTGATGATGGTAATGGATTTCTTTTTCTATTTATTTGGTTAAGTCAGATTACTGAAGATTTTAAGGAATTGCAAATAAAAAATAAAAAAATCTCAATTGCATTCATATATTCTTACTAATTTCATGGTTTGGACAAATAAATGGTGAAGGAGGGGTATTATTAAAATGAATGCAGAATTATCTTTTTTTTTTTTTTTTTTTTCAATCCCAATATAAGAAACAATTTATTTGTTACTTAATTACCTACTCAAAAGCAGAAATGATCTTTTGTGAAGTGCAATAGGTGGTCATGGCTCCCCACAACTTATTATATATATATATATATATATATATATATATATATATATAAATTATTCAAAAATTATAACATATGTTATCACTACAAAAATAGTCTTTTTTTTTTTTTTTTTCAACACTTTTCGTGTCTTATCAAGTGATGGTGTTGAATGTAGATTCTACATAATTTTTGAATAAATATTTGCTCTACTAGGTATTGAGCACTATTTTAAGAATAGTATTTGTTGGTTATTGGAATCTATACTTGTGTGTGTGTGTATATGTATATATAAAAACTGTTACCATATTTGTTATTGAAATAAAAATGGTGGTGTGGTTTTCTGTTGCTTTCTCCATGGTTTTAAATTCTGGGTTTTTCTCCTAAATTGGTTGCTAACCAAGTCTAGGGAACCCTGTCTATTCTACCAGAAAATGAGATTGGTTCTTACCTTTCTCAAGAGCATTGGCATAAAGTGTATACAAACTGTATCTCAGTTGGAATTCGAATTTGGCTAGCTGATTCAATTTTTCACAGCCTGAAAAATTAATCACCAATCATCATTACATGGATTAGGTTTTTTGATATGAAATTGGGAATTTGTTTTTGGCTTACACTATTTATATTGTTCAGACTATTGTCCTCATTTTTGTCATATTTACAACATTTCTTCTGTTGTGTGCTCAAGCATTCTTCATGTTATATATATTGTTATTTCAAGCCAAACCCTCTATTTATTCCACTGGGGACTGTATTGGAACAGTAAATACATAAGGCTTTATTCACTATCAACAATGCTCCTCACATATATTTATATTTTATCTAATGTGGCATGTATCTGACCAATAAGAACTAAGTGAAAATCTTAACATACCCATTCTCTGTCTCTGTTTTTTTTTTCATTTCTATCTCATTCTCTGACAAAGCTTTAATAAAAGTGAAATGTGTTAGATTGACATATATTTCCTTCTTGTTCTTCATTTTATTTTATCTTGTTGGATTTGTATCCGTATCATTGGGTAATAAAATATCAAGGAGTGCATATTTTTGTAAACCTTGACCTGTCATAAAATCTGACATAAGGAAATTATCATTTTTAAATGAGGCAAAGTTAACATGTTCACTGTCACCTTGGATATCTGAACATTTACATAATTCCATCTATATTTTTATTAGTTGGCATTAGAGATTGCTATATAATGTTTTATTTTGGCAGATAATATTAAATTTCTTAACACCTACACTATTGGATATTCGAACCCTTACACGTTTTGACTGATTTTGTTTTATAGTAATTTCTAATGGTAACTAAGATGCTTTAAGTTTTATTTTTGGAGATAAAATTAAAACTATTCATCTAGAGGAGAGAAAAAAAAAAACAAGAATGGGTGTCCTTTGTGCAGGCTTTGTTGTTTTGTGTGTGTCAAGCCCCATCATCATATGATACATGTATATTTATGCATTATGAGCATTTTCTTTTTCTTTACAAAAAAAGTTCTATAAATCAAGGTTTAAAAAAGTATTAAGACTGAAGGTTTTATTCTTTAATAGAGAAATACATCCTCTTAAAGTGGCAATATGTAAAGGTTCTAACAAACTCAAATGATATTATTTACATGATATTAGGACACTATTATCTGCATCTTTGTTTTATCACAATGTGTCAACATTGTGCCCTCTGGTATTCAGGTGTTTATTGATCTGAGTAACTTAAACTGCACTCTTTGTTTAATCTAGAAGGGTTCTCATTACATACTGCTCAGTTATTGCTTGTTTGTTTCCACTCAATCCAAGTACACACTGCCTGGCCTAGGGATTGAACTCCCAATTAATATGTCACCAAATTCACAAACCAACACTTTAATCCACTAGACTATTGTCTGATAGGATGAATTGTTGTGAACTTGAAACCTTAAACCAAGATCAGTACTAAAAATAAGATCTAGACAAGATATCCCTTGACATGGGGCAGTGGAACAGGAACAGTCTACTCTCTGAGGATTAAAGGGTTCTGTTCAGAAATCCCTGTAGGTGGGGGCCCAGATTGATATATACACTTCAAGGAAGGCTGAAAGGCACAATGGCCAAATATGTTGTGATAATAACAACAACAAAGATGAGGACAATAGTCTAAATGATAATGCCTCATCCCAGAAATTCAGTCAAATGATATTGTTGTGCCAATCTGTAACATGAATTCTTTGTTGCATTTCTTGAACAGTATTTAATGTTAAAAATAGTAGCTATAAATTATTTTTTTGTTTTATTTCTTTCAGATGACGACGAAGAGAATATGGGAAAGAGCAAATCTTGGTATGGTTCTGATCGAGATTACACGTACGACGAGGCAAGTGAAGTTCCTTCCCTTTTAGTTTTGATCTTAATCTTTACAACAAAAGTTTGTTTTAATTTAAATTGGTTTGCCTTTTGCTCGTGAATATGAGCATCACTAACTCAGCCTAATTAACCTTTATTGCCATAGAATTCTCTCCCTTTGCTGCTCTAGACACATTATGTCACCTTGAGACAGTTGCTATAAATAAACACATGTCAACTAGACTTTACATAAGGTGTAACATCAATTAAACCCATGTTAATTTTTTCACCATTTTTTTGTAAACAAAAATGGCCACATCAACATCCAACAAAGCCTTTATTCCAGAGTTTTTCTTTGATTTCGGACTCCAGTGATGTTTTTGAAGGCTTCACTCTAGTGGATATTGACGGTGAATTGGTCGATGATAATCACACGTCATTATGTGGAGGAAAATGTTGATGACCATTAGCAGCTACTATCATCCCTAGCAGACTAATTTTATGGAAGCTACTGGTGACCATCGAAATATCTAATAGCCTTTCTGAAGATGAATTATATCATCTATTTATAAATGATGAATAATTTGTAAACAAGGCATATATGCTAGTCGGGTGAAAGAAATGCCAGACAAATGCTTGTGTCTTCTCGTCTGTATACACAAAGAAGCACGTCTCTTTTTTGATGAAAAGAGAGCCTTCTTACCCTTTGGCTCCTTATTGCACCCCAGAACTCAACAAGAGGTAAAATTTAAAGTATGTTATATTGTTAATGTATTCGTTTCTTTTTTTTATTCAAAATCAAAACATGCATGCGGAACGTAATGCATTACATCAAAATATTACTCGTCTATTCTTTTATACATATACAAAGGATAAAATCTATACAATACAAAGAAAATTATAACCATTTTAAAACGGTAGGTGTTTGTTTTTGTGCCCTCAAAAAAATATGCAATGGCAGGGGGAATAATTCTAGAAAGAAATTAGTGTGGTAATGGTTAAAGATAAATGGAAGAATATCTTGTATTTTGACAATCTTCTAAGAGCCTGCTTTTGTAATTATGCTATTGGGAATTGTGCATTAGTGGGATGAATTAAGGGATTTGTAAATGTTACAACATTAAGGTGCTTTTCAGAAGCCCAACTATTCTTTGCTATCTCTTAACTGGGGTTGATCTCTCACAAAAGGTTAAGAATACACAATCTACATCCTACATCACCTCCCCACCTCACAGAGAGGGGAGAACTCTAAAAGAGGGCCCACTCTCAAGTGGGTACTTGAGGGCTTCCAGCTACATCACACTGATGCACCACTTCCCATGTAATCAAAGTTAAGCAATACTGATCCTGGTCTGTACCTAGATGGGTGACTATTTGGATACATGGGTAATGGCATGGAAATGTTAATCATTGAGCTAAGTTCCAACTCCAGTCAGGTTCATTATATTCACTCATGCGCAAATACCCTGGGGAGTGGGGTATGAATCTACCTCTTTCTCCCCCCCCCCCAGCTATGGGTTAATTAGTAAGACTTGTATCACTAAATGTATCACTCCAAAAACAAAAAAAAAATTCTTCTAAAAAATATTTCCTGGCTTTAAATAACCTGCAAAGGGTTGATAAGCAATCAAAAACAATCGATCAGCCTGGCCAGTGTTTGCCTACAAGCTTGAGTAAGAATGAAAAAATAAAAAATAATAAACCATTAAATAAGCCAACAAATGTTGATAGGTCATACAATCCACCAATCTATTTACGTATAGCCTTAATTATCATAAAATGAAACTGATTTTAATATTAAATAATTAATGTGCTTGATGTCCACTAATGTAATCCAAAAACAAGTGAATAAAAAAGAGACTAAAATTGAATAGAGCAAAGCAAGCAAGCAAGCAAACTCTAGAACATAGGATATCCAAAGATAAAATAGAAAAATTTGGTATTAAAAAAAAACTTATTGGGACAGGTTGATCATTAAATCACATTTCGGATAAAGTTCAAACAGTAAATAAGGAGCATTGTTAAAGAGTAAAAAAAATTGAAAGAAGCTGTGTATATTTGTCTTGCCAAGAAGTTTCGGTCAGTCGGGTGTGGATTTCTTTACTTTGTAAGTGAAACCCAATGTATAAAATAAGCAATTACCTGTTGCTGTAAATGTTTGTCTGATCAAAATATTTGTCAGTTTTCTGCCTTGTGCAATTGAGAAAAATAAGAAATCCGTACCGTCATTTGGATTAGAGACCTGAAAAGGGCAGTAGAATTGATTGGCCCAAATATTTTGGCAACAAGAAGAATTTAGATCAATCTCTGAAGAAAGCATTAAGCTTAAATATTTTGCTGTAAATGAGTTTTTGTTTTGAAATATCCATAAATTAGACATTGTTCTAGTTGTGACCTATTCTATTTCCCTGTCAGTAGATTTCAGTTGCTGTAACCCATTAATTTAAAAGTACTTGAATCTGCATCAATTAAAGATTTATTTTTACCAGATGAACTAATACAGCTTGTGTATCACTGATGTAAAGAATTTTTTTCTTTGCTTTTATTCTTGCTATATTTTCTTTTATTTATGTTTATTTTTTTGGTGTTTCAGTTGCTCACCAGGGTTTTTGATATCATGAGAGAAAAGAACCCAGACATGGTTGCTGGTGAGAAAAAACGTTTCGTCATGAGACCCCCACAAGTATTAAGAGTGGGTACCAAAAAAACCTCATTTGCAAATTTCTCCGAAATATGCCGATTGTAAGTTGCCTGCTTTTTCCTTTTTCTTCCAAGATTTTTTTTTTCTAGCACCTGAACAATCAGAACTTTTGCAGCATTATCGTCTTTCGTGTAACAATAATTCCTATTTGACAAAGCAATGATTATATATATGATTATGATCTTAGTAATACTGAAGTATTTTATTTTCCAAATAGATGGCATATTATTGACTTTTTATTAATTTTCAATTTGCCTTTCTTTCATTCTAATTTTGGTTTCTTTTTCATTGTATTAAATAAGAAAGTTTATTTTGGTTTCTTTTTCATTGTATTAAATAAGAAAGTTTATTTTGGTTTCTTTTTCATTGTATTAAATAAGAAAGTTTATTTTGGTTTCTTTTTCATTGTATTAAATAAGAAAGTTTATTTTGGTTTTTTTCATTGTATTAAATAAGAAAGTTTATTTTGGTTTCTTTTCATTGTATTAAATAAGAAAGTTTATTTTGGTTTCTTTTTCATTGTATTAAATAAGAAAGTTTATTTTGGTTTTTTTCATTGTATTAAATAAGAAAGTTTATTTTGGTTTCTTTTTCATTGTATTAAATAAGAAAGTTTATTTTGGTTTCTTTTTCATTGTATTAAATAAGAAAGTTTATTTTGGTTTCTTTTTCATTGTATTAAATAAGAAAGTTTATTTTGGTTTCTTTTTCATTGTATTAAATAAGAAAGTTTATTTTGGTTTCTTTTTCATTGTATTAAATAAGAAAGTTTATTTTGGTTTCTTTTTCATTGTATTAAATAAGAAAGTTTATTTTGGTTTCTTTTTCATTGTATTAAATAAGAAAGTTTATTTTGGTTTTCTTTTTCATTGTATTAAATAAGAAAGTTTATTTTGGTTTCTTTTTTCATTGTATTAAATAAGAAAGTTTATTTTGGTTTCTTTTTCATTGTATTAAATAAGTTTATTTTGGTTTCTTTTTCATATTAAATGAAAGTTTATTTTGGTTCTTTTTTTCATTGTATTAAATAAGAAAGTTTATTTTGGTTTCTTTTTCATTGTATTAAATAAGAAAGTTTATTTTGGTTTCTTTTTCATTGTATTAAATAAGAAAGTTTATTTTGGTTTCTTTTTCATTGTATTAAATAAGAAAGTTTATTCTACAGCCATCAGTAAACTCCATGGATTTTGGGAATAAACCATTGACATGATTTGCATCCTTTTTTATCTAGGAAGCCGGTTTTACAGCTACTATACTCTAAGCTACAATATTTAGCTATCCCCCCATGTGGGATTGAATGTGGCACAAGGCTGAGTTTATTGTGGGTCATCCGAGCCCGTAGGGCCCGGCCAAAAATATAGCCTTGAACCCGTGAACTGTCAACCTCCCTTCGGCAAAGCTTCGTCCGGGTTTCTCCCTGCTAATGCAGAGAGTTAGACAGACGGCGCTGACTGTAACTTAATACAGCTTAATACTCTTTAAGCTACAGCAACCCTCATAATTGTCGGATAAAATCCAACTATATAAACTCCTTATCTCTCCATCCCCATCAATTACAAGGTACTATAAATTTTGTCAACCATTATTAATTATTGGTGATGGTCAGAGAGTGACTACCAAAAATAGTTGCGATGAAAGAGCCTATGGTAATAACTCAATACTGTGGATGCTTAAAAGAATAAAGATCTTTATGCTATATCCTGGTATTTCCTTCATCTCTTTATAAAATAACTTCTCTTTGCTGGTTGGTGTGGTCCTGAAAAATTCTTGGCTTATTCCACTTGCCAAAAATCTGGTTAAATGACCAAACATAATACTGGGCAAGGGGGTTCTTGGGGAAGCTAAGAACTTTTCAGTACCCAAAGTGGGGATTAGTAATTCTGAAAAATAATTCTGTCCACCCCGCCCTTTTTTTTTTTAACTCTGTCTCTCTCCTCCTTCACTTGAGTATTTACATCAGTAATATCAGCTGGCTTTGACTGGAGATAATGTCAACAAGTCTTCTCATTACTCCAGCATTCTCAGTAGTTTTTCTTTTTTTTTTTTTTTTTTTTTCCCTGATTGAATGGTTTTTATCTTTTCAATATATTTGGTTTTAGCTTTTCTATCATTTGTTGTCATAATACTAAAATAACAACTTCATATGTATATATTTTTTGTGGAGTGGCAAGTATTATCATGTCTTTGAGTATCTATCTATCTATATATCTCTATCTATCTATATATCTCTATCTATCTATATATCTCTATCTATCTATATATCTCTATCTATCTATATATATCTATCTATATATCCATCTATATATCTCATCTATCTATATATATCTATATATCTATCTATCTATATATCTCTATCTATCTATATATCTCTATCTATCTATATATCTCTATCTATATATCATCTATATATATCTATCTATCTATATATCTCCATCTATCTATATATCTCTATCCATCTATATATCTCTATCTATCTATATATCCCCATCTATCTATATATCTCTATCTATCTATATATCTCATCTATATATATCCCCATCCATCCTATCTATCTATATATCTCTATCCATCTATATATCTCTATCCATCTATATACCATCTCTATCTATCTATATATCTCTATCCATATATCTCATCCATCTATATATCTCCATCCATCTATCTATATATCTCTATCTATCTATATATCTCCATCTATCTATATATCTCTATCTATATATCTATCTATATCCATCCATCTATATATCTCTATCTATATCTCTATCTATATATATATCTATATCTCTATCTATATATATCTATATATATCTATATATCTATATATCTATATATATCTCTATATATCTATATATCTCTATATATATCTCTATATATATATATATATATATCTATATATATATATATATATATATCTATATATATATATATATATATATATATATATATATATCTATATATATATATATATATATATATATATATATCTATATATATATATCTATCTATATATATATATATATATATATATATATATATATATATATATATATATATATATATATATATCTATCTATATATATATCTATATATATATATATATATATATCTATATATATATATATATATATATATCTATATATATATATATCTATATATATATATATATATATATATATATATATATATATATATATATAATCTAATATTGCTTTTTACTTAGTTTAATTTTGGTTAACAACTGCTAATTCTGTGTTTTTTTTTTTTAATTAAGTCATAAGTTAACAAGCCTTACCAACACTGCTGAGATTGTTATTACATTTTTCTTTTATTGCTATTACTTTTATATTAATGTAACTGTTACTATTATTTGTGTGTGTATATATATTATATATATAAAGATTACCTGTTCTTTGTGAATCTGTAACATGAGCTGGTTAAGCACTTTTTCCTTTTTAAAGTTTAGATCTTTTTCTGATTTTTTAGCATTTTCCTTATTAATAGTTCTCAATTTCTGTTTGCTTTTTCTCTTTATATTTTGACATCCCGATTAAGTCATGATCCCTTTTAATTTTCTAGATTACACAGAGAACCAAAGCACGTGTTAGCTTTCTTACTTGCAGAGCTGGGTACGAGGTAAGTCACTTTTCCATTTTCATTTGTTTTTTTAATTCACTCTATTTTTTTGATTAACACTAGTTTTACATTCCAAGACTGTAAGCAACACATTTTTGCTTAATATTTAGATACATTCCTCATAAAATGCATAAATCTTTTTCATGATATTTATTAGCACAAAAATTATGACCAAAGTAAACATCCTTAAGAAAGTAACTGGTATATGGTCTAGCTGCCTTTTCACATTCTAAAACCATTTTGAAATGCACTTCCTTGAACCTCTTTTCACCTGTGTGGTTAGGGGCCTGCAACGGTGCTACAGAAAACGCGAGTGTTGTTGCTTGTTAAAGATGACTTTTGTTAATGGATAAGGTCTTTACTCAAGCTGCAGCTCACAGAATCCTTTTTAAAAAATAAAAAAAACTCTGCTCAAGTTTCAGTTAATTGAAACAAGAAGAACAGGTCAACTTCTTTATACAATGCCTATACAATTTCAGGTTTACAAAAAAAAAAACTGATCATAGGAAACATGAAATAATTTTTCTTTCCTTCTACTCAATTCTTTTTACTCTCAAATAAAAGTTAACTTTTAGATTGGTCATGGGCAAACTATGACCCATTTGGCTTTCTAAACAGCACACGTAATTTGATAAGGAAAAAAATATTCATTGAAATTGTGTTTTGTTTTATTTTCACTTGTTCACTAACATTCACAAAAGGCGGTTAACGGAAGCTGGTGTCAAAGAAATAACTAATAAACATCTGAGTAACCTTCCTTATTAATGCCTGTTGTGTTTTGAGGTACATTTCAGCTAAACTACATGCATAACAATGATTAAGTATGTTTCTTGAATCTTGTAACTTTTTATTGAAGTTAAGTCTTAGCATTTTAAACCATTGGCAATTTTCATTAAGGAAGATCATACGTGTAAAAATATTTTGCTTTAGAAATGAGAAATTTTTTGCTTTCTCTATCTCTCTGGAGAAGAAAAATATTTTTTCTTTTAAGATATTTTCATATATTCCAATGAATAAATTAGAAGCAAGTCACATGCAGCAGCATATGTTAATCAGTGTCATCATTGATAATATACAAAATCTTCAATTTTTAAATTGTAAAAAAAACAATCTTTTTTCCAAATAAAAAATATCAACATTTTCTTTAATTTATTTTGATGTTTTGGCCTAAATAAGCTTCTATAGACTATTTACTGAACGTTGCTTTAACCAACTGAAATATTGTCACTAAAAACAAATGATAAAAAAAATAAGTGATAGTAAAAAAAAATTTTTTTTTTTTTTTTTTATACAAACCTGCTAAATGAGAACAATGCAAGGAGTACAACTAAAAACAGATAAAAATACTAAATATAATGTTGGTGGATACACAAAAATATTTGGCATCATACTGATTACCATATTTGACCATAGAGAACCTCCTGCCCACATTTAAAACCTTACATTATGCTAGACTTGGATCCTAACTTAACCAGATATCTAATCTTTACATCAATGCCTAGATATTTGTAAGCCTAAAGTATTCTAGATGTTTCTTGATAGATGGTTTTATTATCTCAGTTTAGGGTTTGCTGTTTGGCATTTTCAAATAACATTCAAATTATACTCTTTGTGTTGGTTAAAATAAATCCTGTCTGCAGGTTATTAGTCTCATTTGGATTTTGCATTAAATTCTGTACAAATTACTGTATTTGTATTGATATAGCTTTTGCCTTATTCTTAGGAAATATTTGATTTAAAAAAAAAAAAAAAATGCATAATTTTCTGTTTTTATTTAAGTTGAAGCCTTCAATCTTTGAATTCTTGCACAGTCTTCATGTGTCTTTCAGGTTCATAAGTTTCTGGGAGACATTCCAGACAAATGCTAAACTAAATCTGGCTTGGATATCTCCAACAGATCTCCTTTCTGGTCTGTTTGGGCACTCACCATGTCACAAATAAGGTTCTAGTGCTACCATCTTGTGAGGATTATTTATTTAAATAATACAATCCACATATATAAATGCAATGTGTATCCATATTTTGTGTATCTAACATTTTTCACAAAGTGCACAGATACCATACTCTGATCTGAGACAGATGTTGATCTATACATGAATGATCCCATCATTTTGACAAGTCTTTAAACTTTTTTTTAATAACAACTCGATCTTTTTTGGATGCTACCAAATAAGGTGTGATTTTTATCAAAGCAAACAAGTCTTTGAGAAATTGTTAATCTTTCTGGATAATTTGATGTCTGAATGTTTCAGATATCTTTTCATTTGAACCTCTAAACCTATTTTAGTTATTATACCCATCGGCCACCAAAATCTTTATTAAAAGGCAAAGGATTGGACTTGAAATGCAAAATTTCTGTGGTTAGTGAATATAAAAACCAAAATGTGTATATTGGTTTGACGGGCCAGGGTCAAATCTTATTTTAATAGATTATATACCTTGTTTGAGACGTCAAATATTTTGTTCATGAACCAACATTTCAAATATCCTGAATCAAATGCAAGACTGTTAGTTACTTGAGGATGCTGCAAAATTATTTTTTGGGGGGGGGATACATAAGTTTTGTGCAGATATGTCTGTGAATAGAGTTTTTTTATCAATGAAAATTTATAAAACTATGACTGTAATTAATAGCATATTTCCTGTTGGGTGGTAAAAGTATTGCATTGAAACCTCCAACCAAATTTTGTTGGTAGTTGGAACTGCCATAGCCACATTTAATTCATTACATTAACAAATACTGAATTTGGTAGAAAACGCTACACTGACTACAGAAAAGAATGTCACAATTAAAACACTGATGTTCCTAACTTCATTTTATACAATGGCTTGTAAAAGTCTAAACTTTGTTCCTGGACCTTGAATAAAATACGGAAGGGTGCAGAATTTTTACAAATCTAATACGTGTAGGTTGGAATCTGTAGAGGGCCTATTGGATGGGGGTTGTAATTTTCTTGTTTTATAAAAATTAATAAGCATAAGGAGGGTAAGACTATTACGGACCTGAGAGTACAGGGAAGAAACTTAAACAAAAAATTACAGATTTACAAATCTTTTTCATGTGTGTAAGGTCTTGTATTCAGTAATATATATTGCATCAAAATTTATTTAAAAAAAAGAAAAAATGACTGATTTGGTCAGAAATTTAAAGTCTTTGTAGTTAAAATTAGTATTTGAAGTTTTTTTTTTGTTCCCACACCCTTTAAAAAATAGAAAGTGGATGTTAAATAAGTACGAGACTGCATCTTATGGGTTTGTCATTTGTTTTAGGTTTGAGCTAATATAAGTGAATGTAATAGTAATACTACATTTGGCTCTATTCATAAAAACAGGTAGAAAGAATAGACAGTCAATAGTCACTTGTAATAGTACTGTGTGTGTATGTTTATATTTATCACTTAGTCTATACAGTGAAACTTATTATATATATATATATATATATATATATATATATATATATATATATATATATATATATATATAATGTGTCTTTATTCATATTCCTCTTTTACTGATATAATTTGGTTATATCGGAAATTTTTTACCTTTTATATATTATATATACATAGATATACCAGGTTTAACAGCAAAATTGTCCAATTGTTAGATTAAGCTTTGAACCATTGTATCTTAGAAATGATTAAAGATATCATACTGGAATTCTCAGAAGTTTTTATAACACTATTGGACTCTTTGTTCAATAAGAATGTATTTAGCTCTAAGTTGAAATGATGGTCCATTTTGCTGTTGTGACTTCATGATCCAGTTTTCCTCTCTACTGTTCCCTCCTTAAACTTATTCACCGTTCTCTTGGTGGTTCTTGAATGGACTTTAAAGATGGAATCAGAGTATGAATGTTGGTACCATTACTGAAGGCCTGAAGTATCTTTTTTGCCTCACCATTGCTCGGTTGGGAAGACATGGTGGGGCTGACAAAATGATTTTAACCTGTTCTCTTTCTTGCTGAATAACTCAGTTTTTCAGCTAGAAATTTTTTTTTTCTTTTTTCAAAAATGTACTACAATTTTATAGCCATTTTATTATTATATAATGGTCCACCCACTACAGGTATTTCATTTATTCAACTTTAATATTGCCATGTTTTGCCATCTATTCAGTATTATCAGCATCATATATAGATGTTCCACATTTTTAATTATATCAATTAACCCCTTTAAGAAGCTTCCTGAATTTTATAAAAAAAAATTATTTCTGATAACTTTGTCTACTTCATCAAATTGGAACGTCATACTTGGCTACATCCGTAATACATTTGTTACTGCCATGTTTTCTACAATTGTTGGATGACATGTACAAGCATCACTTTATCGTGATATGAAAAAATAACCCACCCACCTCTACCCTTTGACTTTATTTTTCTATTTTAGTGTAGATCTGACTTTTTAATTGGCTAATCAAGACCTACCTACAAATATATTTTTAATTCTGACCTTATACCCCCCCCTCAACTCCTGAAAAGAGGTAACAATTTGTTTTTAAATCTCCCTAATAAATCATTTTTATCACAAGTTATCTACCATTGCCAGAGGAAGTATAATCATAGTATTGAAACATGAAAGCTTCTGTGTAGCAATGTAAAATGTTTTATTATAATCTATTAATATAAAATATATATATATATATATATATATATATATATATACACACACACACACACACACACACACACACACACACACACACACACACACATTTGTCTTAATCCAGGGAAAATGATGTGCATACAGCATATTTATCACTCCCAGAAGGCCTTTGGGGAAAGGTGTCGGTGTGCATCTTCCTCTCCAGCTATGGGTTAATTTGTAGAACTTGTATAAGTAAAATCATTATCTCAAATAAAAATCCTTACAAATTAAAAATATTTATGGCTTTAAAAACCAACTCCAAGAGCAAAGAATAGTGAAGTATTTGAAGCCTAAGTATTGCTTATCTTTTCATGAAGTAATTCTGGCAAGTATGTTGTGTAATTTACTGAATAATTTTAAGTCACATGATTAATTTGTTCATCACATGGCAGTCCACACTACTAAACAGATTCAAGGTAATTTTTCATACTAGGTACCTCAGTTATTTTCACTACAAAAGACCTTATGCATAAAAATATACTTTAGTTATGGAGGGAAAGATTTTCTATAAAAGACTTGGTCTAATATTTGACGACCCTGTGATTAACACATCATTGTGATTCACAAGCCAAAAATGTTTACATATGTAATCTGCCATAATGAAAATCACCAATGGTTTAATATAACCTTACTTTCAGTGAAAGTCCACAAAATTCAAGAAATTCATTGGTCATGTATGGAAGTCTGAGTGAACAAGTGAAAACAAATAAAATTATAAGAAAAGTTATTTTTCTAATAAAATTAAGTGTACCATTCAAAAGACCAAATGAGCAGCATGTGCTCATAACTGCTTTAAAACTATGTGAATTTGCTTAATTAGTTGGGACAGAAGTGAATTATTATCATGTGACCTTTGTTCGTTTAACCATAAAGGTAATCTGTCCTAGAAAGTCCATGCTCTCTCTCTCTCCCTGTAGTTAAATGATTTCCTTTCATTGTACCTGATTTAGCTTCTAAGCTTTCCTTCTTGTTTCATTAATTGAGCAACTGATGTCATGTGAGTCAACATAGACACTCTTCTACAAAGTGCAGTGGATAAATTGTTGTCTAAATTATGCAAAAATGAAAATAACACTGAAATCTCATCTTAACACATATATTTACCAAAATTACACAAAAAATATCTTGAAATGATAAACAGTAAATTTATTCAATAAATTCACCATTTATTTCAACCACAACCTCCAGATGACTTTGGAATCACCTGCAACTCTACTGGGTGGTCTCCTTGTTTGCGTTGGTGAATGCTGTCATAATCCTTGCCTTCAATTCATCTATAGTGTTTTAGGAGTTTTGTTAGTCTCTCGCTCAACTGCACCCCACACAATAATGAAGGACGTTGCAGTCTGGGGAGTTGCCAGATGTAAGGAGTAATGTGATCTCAGAAAATGTCTGACAGCCATGACTGAATTCTGCTACGTGTGTGGTATGGTGCAGAGTCCTGTTGTCAGACATAGGGCCTTCCAGCAGCCACCCTCTTGATCCAGGGTAGCATTACCTCCTCAAGTCACTTGATGTAGGCCTCTATGTTGAGTCTGAGGCCCTTACCAACAAATTCAGGAGTTCTTATCTTATCAGAACAATTACAGTGAGTTTTACTTAGCTGCCGTACCTTCATAACTACCATTAGACTTGTTCATCTCTTTCCAAATTCTCTGCATTGTCCTCAGATTGACACACAAACACTCTGAAATGCTTACATTGGAGCTTCCAGCACAAATTCCAACCAGTACAGCATGCCGTTTCCAAATATCTGGCAGAGTGAATTGCATCATGGTGCTCTTTTTCTCACAGATGATGCCCAACTGACCCTACTATACTGTACAATTGATAAAATGAAAAACAATGCAGCCCATATTTTCTTGTAGCAGCAAGAAAGCCTATATAATATGACAAATACTTTCTTGTTTTTTGAAATAATACTTGTAAAGACAAGCAGTCTCTTTACTTGTGAATGCACTAATGTTAGTTTTAAATAAATCCAATCTAAAATGATTTATTCATTTGCATTCATTTTAAAGTTTTGTATCTTCTGAAACCTATTTTTTATGAAAGATTTGTTTTTATTTCAGTGGCTCAATCGATGGTAACAACCAACTAATCATCAAAGGACGATTTCAACAAAAACAAATAGAAACTGTAGTTAGGAAATATATTAGTAAGTACAAAGTTTTTTTGTTTTTTTTTTTTTTCTCTCCACTCACCCAACTCTACACATTGCAATTTTTTTTTTTTTTTTTTTTTTTTTTTTTTTTTTTGTCACAGAATCTGTTTTTATACAAGAATCTCATGCATTATTCTTGGGCTAAAGTTCAAATAATGTAATTAGCATGAGGCACAGCTAGGATTCAACATCTATTTTGATTGACAGAATGAATTTAATTCTGTAATCACTTTATGAAAAGTAAAAGAGGAAACTTTCTGAATCTTAAAGCCTGATTACATTTATGTCTTAATTACATACATAAATTTATTTCTAATCTTGTCAGAAAGTGCATACTGATAAAGTTTTTTTTTTTTTTTTTTTTTTTTTTTTAATAATGGAAATTTTTACACTTTGTAATGTGAATATTTTTCCAGGCACAGTTACTTTCTGATTTAATTATTTTATTTTTGTTACTTTTTTTTATCACGATGTTTATTGAGATTTTCAAACTAAAGATAACCACCATATTTGATGACGTCCACTCTCCTGCCTTCATATTATAATTAGGTTCTGTACAAGTCCTGGTAGTCAATGGTGTTTAAATATACACTAGCTGACCAGATACTTTAATAATGTAAGAGCTGGGAGGAATTTTTGAATGCCATTTTAACAACAAATTGAGAGCAAATATATAATGGCTAATTATTTGAGTATGCTTGTCTACTGCACTGGCAAAAATAATCCCTATTGCAGATGTCTGCTCAGGTACATTTTTTTCAAAACTCAGAGAGCCAAAGTGTGGTTTATATTGCAACTATATTGAGCAGACCTTAGTTACAGTTCCTGGGAGAGAGTACATCATCTGGTGTAATCAGTAGTTAAACAAGGCTGGTGCATTTGAATTCTCAGTTACAGTGACTTGTGACTTTGTGCTAGCACCAGCATTAAAAATTTCCAAACAGATTCATCTGCCCAATTCCCAAGTTCATCCACAATGTTTGGCAATGTTTTTTTTTTTCTAATGGTTTGGTTTTGTTTATTTTGTTTAATGGCATATCAACCTCAATGGGTTATTTAACGCCGACAACATTTTTAGGATAGATTCATATGAATAGAGTATGTGTTCTTTGGTTTAGATTGGTTTGGTTTATTTTGTTTTACGGCATATCAACCTCAATGGGTTATTTAATGCTGACAAAAATTTTTTTATTGCTGGTAATATTTTGTTTTGTCAAAAATCTGTTTCTGGTAATATATTCCTTCAAAATTGTATTGCTGGTAATAATTTTTTTCAAAAAAGTATTGCTGGTAATAGTTAACTATTTGCCCATAGCTGGGACTCAGGTGCTACCAACATGGGTCAGGGTGGACCTGGGAAGAGCAGCTAGTTTTATCCAGGACGATCAGAGAGGGGTTATGTTTCATCAAGTATGGTATTATTAAGTTGCAAACAATGTAGCATAAGGACTTAGCAGCAGTAGTAGCAGCAGTGATATACTGATAGTTTTAAGCCATATCTACTCATGTGAAACAACAACTTGAGATGTGGTTTATTGAAGTTCCTTTGGACCTTTGATTCCAATTTTGCTCCGTTGACCTGAATGGTTGAAAAGAAAATGGAGCTTTAAACAAAATGTGATAAAAAGCAATAAATGAAAGATGAAAAGACTTTAGAAATTGAAATGATCAAAGGTTTTTCATAAATATTTGGTATTTGTAAATTAAAATTATTTTTTTTTTTTTTTTCTTTTTGTCTATTGCAGAAGAATATGTTACGTGTCACACCTGTCGGTCACCTGACACACTCCTCCAGAAAGACACAAGACTTTTCTTCTTGCAGTGTGAGACGTGTGGTTCGCGACGTTCTGTGGCCAGCATCAAATCTGGTTTCCAAGCTGTCACCGTCAAAAGAGCAGCCATGCGGGCCAAGAATGCATAAATAAAACCCACAAAAACAAACCTAAAAAGAAAATATGGGAAATCGAGCTTTCAATTGACAGACTTTTTTCTTTTTAAAGACTTTTCTGATATTTTTCCCTTAAAGAAAGTTCATTTAGTATAAGTGTATTTACCATCCATGCACTGAAAGAAAAATACCAAATATTTCTCTATCTCTCTCTCACTCACACACACACACACACACACACACACACACACAACTTGAAAGTAGCAGACAAATACATATACATACATACTAATATACTTTGTTGAATGAATAAAAATAAACAAAACCAATATAAAAACAAAGGAATTGGCTGCAGTGAATTGACAATGTAGCTTGATTCACACATAATGGATTAATGCAGGTACATATACAGAAATGTCGACAGTGTGGTTAAATTGTTGAAGGTGTATAGTCTTTTTTTTTTTTTTTTTTTTTTTTTTTTTCATATTTGAAAGTCAAACATTTACAGAAAGGAGAAATGTAGAATAAACAATCAAAAAAAAAAAAAAAAAAAAAATCAAACACTGAGCCCTAATTTGTTGTGTTATATATATTCTGTTTATCTAGACAGTAAATGTTATTAAATTAGGTACCTCCACTAATTTGCAATACCTAAAGGTTTAAAATTAATTTTAAAAAATACAAAAGAATTTCAATTTGGCCTTTTAGCTTTAATTGAAAGCTAAAATATTAAATTTACTATTTCCCGTAAGCAAAATACTCTGGTTTATTTCAAACAAATTATATTGACTGGAATCATATTTTTCCCACCTCAGTAAAATCATTAGTCATCCATTTTTAGATATTTGTAAACAAAAGTTAGTTCTCAGTTTTAAAAATATTGACAAAATAAGATATACTTTACTAAACCTTTACTATAAGCTGTTTTAAAGTATAATTATCTTATTTGAAATAAATATTAATTACTTGAAGTTTAAAATAACTCAGAAATGCATTTTTAAACCAAACAGTAGCTTTGTTTTTAACCGACAGTAGCCATGTTTATGTATTTGATGAAATTTTTGAAATTATTCACCGTAATCTAATCTCAGGAATGTTTACTTTAAATCTACTATAGTCATTTTATTTTCTGATACTATCATGTTGAGCAGAAGAATGGTACTTTTATTACTAGTGTATTCCATAAAGCAACTTTTACAGCTTTTTACACTAGTTGGAACTCTTTCGTCACTTGTACCAGAAAAATAAATCTGGTCAAAACTTTAGTTCATCAGGCCTTAATGATTTGTTCCTGTTGTACACAACAGCAAGAGTTGAACAAAATTCATTCAATTTGCGTCAATAATGGTTTTCCAGCTAATATTGATTGCACAATGGAATGGAAGATAGATAATTTTAATATGTCTCCCAAATTTGGCCCTAGTCTGTGTCCTATCTTTCTAAAATTACCCTAGCTTGGTAGAAAATGCAAAATTTTGAGTGACAGATTTTCTAGAACTGTCTCTGTTACTTTATTTTTGACCAAGTTACATGTTGTTTTTGGCACCCGTCCACTATTTCCTTTATTTACTAAGGACCGTCTGTCCTATCTTAGTAAGAGTTTACTTATCTATAAGTTTAAATGTCAGTGTAAAGCTGAGTATATAGGACAGACTAGTCTTTGACTGGAAACAAGAATGGACCAACACGTTCCTAAATATATCAAATTGCATTCAAGTAATCATACTAGTGTGTCGCAGTTGGTACACAATTCACCTATCAGACAACACCTATTGGAGAATGAGATGTGATCGTCGTTTTTCACGATGGACTCATTCTCTATTTTACATATAGACAGGTCCAAACACCATTTGTTAGTCATGGAGACCATTTGTTTTAAATTGCAGTAACTGTCTCTCTGCAGACAAAAGGGTAATTTTTTTTGTGGTCTTTAAAATTATTTGGAGGTTAGTGAGCGATTCTTGTTTTATACTCTTGTTGGTTCATTTACTTATTCTCTTAAGTTTATGCATTTATTTTAATCGTAAATCTGTTTTAGATGTATTCCAACCTTATCTCCAAGAATTTTCCCGCATATTTGCAGTTTAATTCTCATTACTTCAGCTGTGCCAACAATTGTTCCCTGAAGAAGCATTAGCTGAACGGTTTCCTAGGTCCAAAATAATGAGCATAAAATTGTTTATATTCAACTATATACTTTTAAAAAAAATTGCTTTTGAAGACTGGTATTATGCTTCACCATTTATGATTAGTAAATATAGTTTTCACTTGGTGATATAACCTAAAAGGCTGAAATTAATACAGAATTTTAAAATTAAAACTTTTAAAACTGAAACAATATATATATATATATATATATATATATATATATATATATATATATATATATATATATATATATAAATTTTTAACCTAAATTTTGAAAAAATTTAATAAAATAATTAAAAAATACCTTGGTCTTTCCTCTTAATAACACATTTTGATAAAATTTTGGGGTCTTTGTTATCATGGTATGCCCCTTTTTTTAGCAAAAAAGTAGAGGTACTTATATTAAAGACATCTTGTGTCTATTAATCTTATTGGTCAGCTTTTCCAAATGACAAATAATCCTTTTCAGATAAAGAGGAAATTCTGTCAGAAATTGTCCAAAGTTTATTTCAGAAAAAATATAGTCCACGCTTTTGATTTTCTCAAATTATTATCATCAGAGTAGGTAGACAAATGGTGAGTGTTGTGATCTAAGGAAACGTGTAACATAGTTTTTTTTTTTTTTATATAATGGGCTCTTAAATTATAATTATTTTTATTTAGAGATGATTTATTTTGTTAGTATTGCTATGTCGCAGCACTCTATCTACTCTCAAGCTGACTTAAAGAAAAGTTGAAAGCCTCAATCATATTTCTTCTGAAATGAACTTTGGGTAATTTCTGACAATTTCATCCTTATCGGAGTGGCATTATTCATAATTTGGAAAAGTCACTCAATCAAAATTAATAGACACAAAATGTCTGTCCTTAATAGCGTTTGCCTTTTATTATATATACAGTGTGTATCAAAAATACTTTTACAAACTTTGGAGACTGGTTCCTGACACCAAAAAGTAAAATGACCATATAAGCATATGTCCAAAAGGCCATCATTGTACCTCAACACAGCAATTCATCACAAATGTCCTCCACTTGCTTCTACACATGCATGTATCTGCACGATGTTGGATAGCTTAGCGGTACCACATGACACTAATCAAATACTCTGCATTATTAATATCTGTTGCATGTACCAATTGTTTTAGATGGTCCCACAGATAAAAATCCAAAGGAATGAGGTCAGGGGAATGTGCAGGCTATGAAACCGATCCTCTATCTATTTCATGATAAGTGTCAGCCAGTACATTATGCACAATGTGACTGAAATGTACTGGAGCTCCATAATGAATGAACTGCATGTGTCTTTGTGTTAGCAGGGGTACGTCCTCTAGCAGGTCTTGAAGTTTGTTTGAAATAAAGTCCCTGTAAACAGCTCCTGTAAGGCATGCTGGAAGAATATATGGACCTATCAGACTATCACCTACAATTCCAGCCCATACATTAATCGTAATCATTAATCTGGTGTCTAGCCTGTACTGTACCATGGGTATTCCAATCCACCCGCAAATGTTGGGTGTGTAAATTTGTTACTTTTTTTTTAAACTTCTATAAAGTAAATTGGTTGATAATGGTCTTGACCAGGGTGGAGGTCTTATCCCCATTACAAATAGTAGTAAAAGAAAAATTGGATTACTATGGAAGCAAATTTTAAACAACTTTGATTCAAGATATAAATGGAAACCATCTTTAAAGTGGATTTAATGGAGATAGCATTTATCCATGGTCATGGTAACCTGAATTTATTTTACGCATTAGTATAGGAAAGAAAGATAATTTTGACAGCATAATAATTGGTATCCAGATTGTTAGTTTACAAAGAATGACCTGAAAAGGTATCAGTTTGGCTGTTTTCTCAAGAAGTATTGAATTGGATGCTCAATACTAGAACAGTGTAACTAATAAGCTAACTGGTATAATTCTGCCCAGTCAGCCGATGAGCTAAAGGGCTCGCCGGATATTCAATAATGGTCATCAATATCAGATTTCTCCCATCGACCATTGGTGGCAGTGACTTCTACAGTTGTTAAAAAGTCCGGTCGAATGACCTTGTGACTGATCTCAAATGACCAGAAATCTGCTTCAGGAGTTGGTATACAACGGCTTTGGTGGTTATATAATAGGGAGATGACAACTCATATTTTTTTTTTTTTTTTTTTTTTAACTTTACCTTCTACAAATGATTTGTTAATGTAAAAAAATATAAGCTTCAGAAAACTGCAGGAGTGATGGATGATTATCCCTTAAGACTTGGGCTCTTAGTTGCTCACTCTGGGTGTCTAATTGTTGATTTTATGTTGGTACATGGTCATGGGTTCAGGAGGTAGCCTAGTCTGTTCTTAGGCACATTCTAATCAAATATGATAACTCTTGGCATTATCCTGTGGACTTTGCTGAACTACTCTGGAGTCTGCTGATCTGTTCCGTTCATCCTGTGGTTCTACTTTGCTCGACCTGCAGCCCTGTTCTCTGAAAGCCTGAAAATGCCCGGTTTAAATAATACTTTGCACAAAACCAGATGGGAGTCTGATTGGCATAGAAATATCAACAATTCCTTTGTCTCAACTGAGATTTTCCAATTTTGGGCAATTATCCAGCCCCTTAGTGGCAGTGAGAGAGTTAATCCACCCATCACACTCCATCTTGCCTTTTTCGGCATCTCTGACTTCCACTCATATCTGCCACCGCCTCTTCTTCCTCCAACTTCCTTAGAAACAACCTGTTACTACTCTCTTTGGGGTGTCACTTAATCCGGTTGACCAATCCCTTTTTAGGGACCATAACAAGGAGGCAGTCCGAACCTTAACTAAAAGCTAACCATCTCAAATATAGTAAAAGGCTCTTTGCCGACTTTAAATTTTAGGTGAATTCAATTTATGGAAAAGATCAAATGGCTTTATGGATTTATCTTATGGAGAAATCAAATCTCCAGAAAAAAGATAGAAAAAAAAAATTCTCTTTTCTTTTAGGCCACATGCACCACTTCCTCTAATCATTATCTTCAAGTGAAAAATTATTATTCAAATCAGCGTCCTGTTTTAAGCCTGAACGAAACTTGTTTTTCATAAATCTTGACCATCCAAAATTGCTTCATAAAAAAACGACTCTCTGACCAGACAGCAGTTACTTTCGACATAGTTTTAATATCCACTTAGAAATCTACATCCATTGTCCATATCCATTACAATTTGATCTCAACCATTGGGTATCCAGGCAGGAACACTCCAGTCAAGATTTAAATGTTTTCTCAACCTGAGATAAGTGTTTTCTCGGTCAGCCCATCTGTCTGTAGGCAATAATGTCACACTGGTAAGTGTACACATCTATTTAAATAGTGCCTTTAATACAATATTTCTAATATAAAACTGGCAATTTTGCAAGTCTTTTGTGTTGAGGACTCTTCTGGTGATATAGAAATTTGCTGTAAAGACACAATGTTTAAGCAACAAACATTCATCCAGCAAGATTTGTCTGTTTTTTATGGCATTTTCCCTATTTTCCTGAGGCTTCCATGATAACGAGAGGTTGGTTGTCTATCTGCCTTTCTTTCTTTTCTTTTCTTTTTCTTTCCCTTCCTTTCTTTTCTTTCTCTTTTTCTTTCCCTTCCTTTCTTCTTTCTTTTAAATAACCATTACACATCTCACTAGATTATACCAAACTTCTTTTGGAAAGTGTTTGAACAAAAAACTTGAACCTTGGACAGTTTATCCACAATTTTGATCACAATACACAACACCTTATTCAAAAATTGAGAAAATACAATGAAAAAAAAAATTAAACAGATCTTGTTGGTTCTTTTTAATCAAACCTGTTTGAATATGTCGGTCAGTCTATCACAAATCAACCAACGGCCTCCAAAAAATCTGGGAAAATTTGCAGTTGTTTTTTGATCAAATTTCTTGATAAATATTAGATCTGCATCTTTGTTTTAAAAATCAGAATATTGTGAAATTTCACTGAATTCTTTGTCTTGTTAAATAAGGTTTCCATCAATTCTGACCATCATATAGCTCCAAGGATGTTGCATGTACAAATTTGAAACTTGATGACAATAGTTGATATTTACCATAGGTTACAAAATTATAAACAACTTATGCATGTCCTATGTACTTTTATTTATATAACAAGTGGAAAATGGCTGAAATACAAAAAGATGCTGTCCATTTTGTGAGCTTATTTATGTTGGATACATCATCTAAATTTCTTTTCTTATCATTTATAACCTAACAGAATGTTTCTATGCAGTTCAAATGTCAGTATTACTGTTTGAAAATGGCCTGAAGTTTTTAACATCCTTAAAAGTGTCTATTTTCATGACATCAGCAGACCAATTAGGCAATTTAAGAAAATTTTTATATTTTTACCACATATTCATACATCACAGAAGGCCATGTGACAAGGTTCAGCAAGTTAAAATAATGAAAATGCGTCAAATTTGTTCATGTTAAACAATTTTATTCATACCCAAATATATATATAAATCAGTAAAGTATAAATCACATTAAGGTTATTTTACTTATGTTCATTGTATTTATTAAAGGAGAAAATAACTTAGTCAAAAAAATTCTTGAAAGTGCAATTATGGATTCTTGCCAAATTATTAACTTAATGCCCTGGAATTTTTTCAAATATTTCATTTCTTAAAAGAAATACTCCTTCTCCAAACCAATGTGCTGTATCCCCTCAGGACATAAGCAATCATAGCTCTCCACAACTTCCTGTCTTTGTAGCTCTTAATAAATTTTGTCGTTATTTCTCCTAAACCCTATACAGCCATCCATTTACTCAAACTTAATAAGTATGTTATGCATTATTTTCCTCTGTCTCTCTTGCCTACATTGAATAGGTAAATTACCATAACAGAAAGAGTATTATGGACAGATAAAACCCAAATTGAGTTTGGACCTAATGCTAGAAATCATATATGGAGGAAAGATGGCAATGACTTCAAACAAAAGAACACACTTCCAGTAGTGAAATTCGATGGTGGCAGCAGAATCATGGTTTTGGAAATGTTTTTCTGCAAAAGGTACTGGCAACATATCAGTAATAGATGGTAGAATGAATGCTGCAGCATATTAAAATATTTTGGAATCAAATTTAATGACTGTCAGAGCTGTAAATGTAGAACTACCTTACACTTAAGTAAAATAATAATATTGTAGTGATCTATTTGTTGATAAGGATAGATGTCTGTTTATTGCTGCATGAATAACATGACCACACAATTTATATTTAACATGAAATACCACGAAATGTGAAATACAAGAAGGAACAAAATGGTTTTAAAACAATAACTTTTGTATTTATTTTGTGTGTTGATGTACATGCGTAGAAGTTAAAGTTCTGTTCGTATTATGTCTCTTAGACTGAAATATTTTTATCTGAGCTCACAAAAGTTGAATTAATTATAAAGCTGAGAAATGCTGAATAAACTGTAGTTTTAGAAGAATGTTTTAAAGAGAAAAGTTATTGTTGCTTGTTTGGAAATGTTCTGTATGCTTGTAAAAGTTCATACATATGTGCATGCGTGAATGAGCTTTTAACGTTTGACCACCCATGGTCAAGACAAGAATCCTTTTGAGACTACATCTTGCAGCAAGAAGAGAGAAAAAAAGAGAGCGTGACAAGAAGTTGCCCGTATTTATAGCATTAAGGAGGAGCTAACTCTGACAGTATTTATTAAGAATTTATTACAGGAAATATCAAGTTATAAGGAAACATTGTTGATAATTATGTATTTAGTTTGTAGAATTAGATTTCTACATTCTCTGTTTTAAACCTGTTAAAAGAGAATCACAGCGAAGTATTCTCAGTTTGTGCTGAACCCATTAAAATTGGCTTAAAATTAACCAGGTATTGAACTCTTTGGGTCCTGTTTATTCACTGTGCCATGTGTCCTTCGACATTCCAATCACCTGAAGAAGGCCAGAGCGTACAACGGCCAAAACGTGATAAACATGGTGACAATAGTCCGAATAATGTAAATAGAGTATTACTATGGTTATTAATTCCATATCCTCCTGGTGTCAGTTTAAACTGACGCCTACTTTTATCATATAACCATTTTGGAAAGTGAAAATATCACTGAAATAAGTTTTCATTTGAAATTGAGAAAATACGCATTTTAAGCTGTAACAGTTTGGGTTGGTGGTAATTAATAATAATAAAGAATTGGAATATCAATGAAAATGAGATATTGATGAATAATCTAGCATGAAAAGGGTTAAAAGAATATCAAGAACGATAGACTGATAATAATTGATTCCCAGAGAATCGAGTTTTATAAAATGAACCGGGTGACCATCTGAGAGCAGAGCTCGGTTTGTGCAACGAGCCAAGTGTTGACAGTATTCGACAAACAATGCCTGTGAGATCGACATTGGAGGAGTTGGGTTAAATGCCAGTTACAAATAAAATCTTTTTACGGAGATGTTAGGATTGAAAACAATAGGCTGAAAACTTAGATATGCTGAACTTCGGCCGAATGAATTGTCACCAAAATGTGAGTTAAAAATTTTTTCCCTGGGAAAGTGTCTCTTGGGTCAAAGGTGAGAAAGCCAAGTGTTGTGAGATGATAGCATTTGGAACAATAATTTTTTAAAATTAGTCTTTGACTGAATGGTGAAGATGACAGGCAGAAGAGCGATCAAAGAAGGAGGAGGGGCTGCCTGCACCCACTGAAGGGTGGCAGGCAGATGGACAGACGGGACTTTAAGGAGCTGCCCACACCTACTGGAGAGCACTAGTGAGAGATGGTGATAAAAGAGAGTAGAAGTAAAAAGGTGGAGCGATGCCTGCAACCATCTCCCATGAGAGAAGGGGAGTTCCCCAAAATTATGAAGTAATTAATTTCTCAGGACCAAAAAACAATGATGACTGGTGGATGAAATACCAATTCCCCCTACTACCAACAACTACATCTCAACCCTACACCAGTTTTTTTGTTTTTTTTTGCAGATGACAATGGACTCTTGTTGAAAATCAGAGGATTCACCGAAACGCAACCTACATCTTGCACTGTACCATTTTTTAGTTGGAGTCCATAAAAACGAATGCGCAAAAATGAATTCAGACACTTGACGGCCCCGTTTTTATCTTGACTGGGTCAGTTTTTTTCTTTCCCATGTCCATATAAGTTTCTCCTTTCCCACTCCCTTAGCAAGAGAGCCTCTTGATTGTGTCCAATGGGCAGAATACAGCGGCCTCTGTTTTTTGAGGGTTGGATGGGCCCTACTAACATCAGTTATGTTTAGTTTGTTATTGGGTTCATCTCCCTCCCCTCTCATTCTTCATCTTTAGATTTTTATAGATAATAATTTATCAAATTTTTGTGGCATGGAGAGCGTTTTGTATGTCCCCCTTGAGAGGATGTGGTATTATGGTGTAAGGAGGATTGATTGGTGATGAACGAGTTTTTGTTGTGAATGTGCAAATTGTAACGAGTGAATGGGTCGTGAATCAGATTAGCTAGGTATTAGTTAGTGAAGACCTGCCTCAACCTCTCCCCCTTTTTTCGGCCTTGTGCCATAATTGTATTTTTATATACAATAAATACCAGTGGACAGTTGAGAGATGAGAAGAGACAGAAAGGAAGTGGCGGAGGTCGCTGAGAGATTCCACAACTCCTGCCGAACATGAGAACCTCTGACTTAAACCTTGAGCAAAACTTACCAGTTTACCCAAGTTGTGTCTGATTTAGGAACGGGTTGGGTCGACAAACACCTGTACGCTAACACAACTACTAACGAACCATTGTACACAGGATTCGATATAAAAATAGTAAATATATATATATATATATATATATATTTCGAGTGCTGTTTTTCTCCAATTCTGTTGTACGACTTCTCTCGATTTGAACCAGCCCAATACAAAGATACCTGCGATGAATTGATCTTGGCCTCCTTATAATCGAACAATCACAATGTGGAGTAAGGCAGATCACAATTGAAAAGATCATTCCATTGAACAAACCAGGATTCATCCCAGGCTGACTACAACGAAGGTGTTGCAAAGCAAAATGGTTATAAAAATAAGTCAGTTTAAACCGACGGTAAAATACTTTTTTCTTTTTATCAAACGTGATGGTAATTGTTCAGGAAATTTAATTCAATTATTTTTGTTATTTTGTTAAAAGATGTTACTTAATAATTGCTATAGCTTTTCCTAAGCGTACCTGGTTTTGTTTTACCAACCTAGTGGTTGGTAAAACCAATGCCGACAAGATTTTTATTGCTGGTAATATTTTTTTTTTTTTTCAAAATTGTATTACTGGTAATAATTTTTTCTTCAAAAATTTATTGATGGTAATTTTTTTTTTAAAAAAACGTATTGCTGATAGTAAAACCTATTTTTACACTTTTAAAGTGTTTTGACCCTAGCTGAGACCCTAACAGGCGCTATCACCCCGAGTCAGAATACGAGCAATTAAGAAGTGGTTCCACGCTCCTCAAAGCCTCCTGATCAGAGGCCTTCCTGTTGGATGTAATTTATTGTCATATCCAGGACGGAAGCATGCCCAAGTCATATTTTTTTTTAGGCAACCTACAGTGTACTCATGTCAAATTTGTAAAACTGAAGCAGTGATGTTATTAAACATTAATTCTAAGCAAGAAAAGAGA